CATTCGCCAAGGTACAGGATAGTTCTAGAAAATAGGTGGCGCCACACCAGTCATGTGACCTCGGTGACGCAACAATATCCACTACTTTAGGTCTAACTTCCTGAAAGTCTTTGTTAGCTTATGTATCTGTTGCATGTAAAAGCTTATGTTTCTGTTAAAATCCTGTTGCCATTTTCCACAGTTTACGTACCTCTCTTTATCTATTGTCTCTGCTTTAATTAGGATAGACTCCGATTTTTCCTCCAATCTTCAAACTTATCAAACAAATTACACATCTTCATTCCTAGCTTCCTTAAAAGTACATACCAGTCCAGAGTTCCCAAATAAAACCCACTCATTGCACTCAACAAACTGTGAACACTTAATTCTTACACTAGTCTTAACCATTGTATTTACAGCCTGGAAATAAATACTGAACACTGTTAGTATTGTCGACACTGTTAGTGTCGAGCTCAAGGTTTAAGAACTGATTATTAGTTTTTTATCTCTTTTTCATCTTCACACTAAAGTAATTAAGCTTATCTTAGAAGTACATATCAGTCCCAAGATCCTGCAAACACTCAATAGCAGTAGCTTGTTGACAACAGATAAGCTTAATGTTTGAGAATCAAATATATAATTTTTTTTATCACTACTTTGTCTTCACATTAAAGTCATTAAGTTTATCTTTAATTTTATAGAAGTAACAGATAACTTGTCTTTACTTTAGTTGATATTAATAATATAATAATACAAGTTACAATATGATATATTGATATATAACCTACCTATAAGCTAAATTTCAAGTCCAACTACTAAAATTAAAGTCAAGTAACCAAGTTTATCTTTAAAATGTGAAGTGATAATCAACTATACTTTAGATTGTATTTACTTAATAAAACAATGTACTTAATCCATTTTATGATTTACCAATGAGTTGAATTATAGCTAAACCTAAAGTACTGTTACACATCCTAATCTAATGTTAGTTACTTAGCTCTAACTTAAAGTTTAATCCTACAATTTTTATTTAACAATCCTTTTAAAATCAAACTATTATTTTGTTTAACCCAAATTACTACAAATAAAAATATTAATATTAAATGATATTCAAATATATCCAACTGTCAAGAGCTTAGCTTCTTAACGTCTTTTCTCTTCTGTAGCATCCTCTCTGTATCTCTGGAGAGGCCTGTTCTTCTAAATACATTGTGTGAATTGTGATTATAATTTAGTAAAACACAAGTTATATTTAATCTTGTTATATATATTATTTGTACTTCTAGCTCCAGGAAAAGTTGATTCCTTGGAAGAAAGTTCTCTACATACAATTTTGAAGTTTGATGTAACAAAAGAGGAACAAGAAAAGTGTGATGGAGAATCAGAGAAAAATGAGGTAATTAAACTTTTTACAGTTATGTTATTAAATATAATATGTAGCTGTAATTATGTCTTTCTGGACTTTGTTTGTTTGGCATCTAATTAGTAATGACATGTTTGTAGTCACAAGCTGTAGAAATTCTCTACAAGTTTCCTGCATTGTTGTACATAAACTCATTAGAGGTCTTCTTACAGCTGTAATATTGCTGGTCCAGAAGAATGTAAACATGTTTTATGAAGAGGAATAACCAGTACCCAGGGAAATAAAATCCTGGATTTTGTTTTACATACTAATGTTTTCATGTTTCTTCAACAAATTTACTTTCAGAATTTTGATGAATTTAGCCATTGGAGCTAAAACAAACTGTGATTGGACAGTTTGTGGAGAACAGTCTCCTGCCTTCAAGCTGCATTTTATTGACAGTATTTGTGGAATTTGGAGGTTGAACAGCTTAATTCTGTTTCATCATTTAAGCCAGGTTCAGAATGATACCAAGTTTATTTTGGAACATGCTTTACCTGGTGAGCACTAGACATTTTTTACAACTGTATTGGATAGTAAGATGATCAGTAACATGTGTAAAAATCCCTCAAAAAAACCTTCTACATTTTCTCATTCATCACAACTGATCCATGAAGAGGGTTATGATTTTTAGCCAGTTAATGAGGCTCCTATAATTGTAATAATCCTAGTGATTTAATAAAGGTGAAAGTAGATCTCTAGGAGATTTTAATAAAAAATGGTTGTCTTGAAAGATTGGTTGACAGAATTTTCACCATTCATGACAAATGAAGGAAAAGTAACGGGAGTCAGGAGCAAAATGTTGCATTTCTAACAACCTTTATTAGTCCTAGGGTTAATAATACCATTAAGAATGTTGTGGGGTAATTGGCTTTGCCAAATACAGTTATGTTAAATCTTACTTAGTGTATTCAACATTTAAATTCTGCAGTAATTGTCTGAAATACAGTTGTGTTAAATCTTACTTAGTGTATTGAGCATTTAAATTCTGCAATAATTGTCTGAAATACAATTGTGTTAAATCTTACTTAGTGTATTCAACATTCAAATTCTGCAGTAGTTGTCTGAAATACAGTTGTGTTAAATCTTACTTAGTGTATTGAGCATTTAAATTCTGCAATAATTGTCTGAAATACAATTGTGTTAAATCTTACTTAGTGTATTCAACATTTAAATTTTGCAATAATTGTCTGAAATACGATTATGTTAAATCTCAGTTGTGAGAAGGCAGTTACCCATGAAAGTTCTTATAATTCCTAAAGTAGAAATCAAACCTCCCTAATATTTCTACCATATGCAACTCGAAATTCCACCCTTATAAAAGAAATAAAATAAAAGAATAAAAGATTTTAAATACAACTACAAGCCCTACCTTAATAATTCATATGGAGTTCATATTCTCAATCTCCTCTCTTTCTCATGAAAATTTATTCAAGTATAACATGGGATAGCCAAGATAAGCCCAACTACATGGAATTACTCTTCTCCTCCTGGTATACTGAATAAAGTTATAATTTAAAATTTAGCTATTCAAATGTTGCTAATTACATCTAGTGACAAAAAAGGTATTTTACATATTTTTAAAAATATTTTCATATTAGTTATAAAAATGTGTAAAACATTTTCTTAATTGCCAGTATTTGTAGCCATTATTTTCTAGTTTATTTATGAATAATGTAAAATTATCTATAAAAGCATTATTATTATTACAAATTATTTTAGTTGAGATATAATGATGCTTTTAACATCATACATAGAATAAGACTATTGGGTAGACTGAGGATGGGGAAGAATAAAATCCCTTCTCTTATCAGAAATAGTGAACTTTGCTTTGCCTTCTACTAAATTAATGTCCAAGTCTAATAAGTTAGCATGAACATCATTATTATTTCTTTTTTCCATTGCAAGTTCTTTTGGATTTATTAAGTTTGGTGGAAAATTAAAATTATTTATGGCAAGTAAGTCATCTATGTAACAAAAATTATATATAATATAAAAGTTAGGATTTGAATTCTGTTTCAGAAATGAAATTCATAAAAAAACAAATTGTCCGTATTCGAAGAGAAGTTCACTCCCATTGAAGTACCCGCTGTTTATGTATATACTTGTTCATTAAAAGTAATATAACAAGAGAAGTTCACTCCCATTGAAATACCCACTGTTTGTTTATACTCTTGTTCGTTAAAAGTAATATAACTAAAGAAGTTGACTCCCATTGAAATACCCACTGTTTGTTTATATACTTTGTTAAAAGTAATATAACTAGAGAAGTTCACTCCCATTGAAATACCCACTGTTTGTTTATACACTTGTTTGTTAAAAGTAATATAACTAGAGAAGTTCACTCCCATTGAAATACCCACTGTTTGTTTATACACTTGTTTGTTAAAAGTAATATAACTAGAGAAGTTGACTCCCATTAGAATACTCACTGTTTGTTTATAAACACAGAATGAAATTTCTATTTTATATTGAGATAGATTTAAATTTCCTAATCAATTTTTTTATGAATTGATGAAATATATTATATCGCAGCTAAAAAGATGATTAAACGTTTGTAGTAATAATAATAATAATAATGCTTTTATGGATAATGTTATATTATTTATAAATAAACTAGAAAATAATGGCTACAAATACTGGCATTTAAGAAAATCTTTTACAGTTTTATGACAAATGTGAAAATATTTTAAAGGATAAACTTTTGTTATGGAAAATACCTTTATTGTCACTAGTGGTCGTAACTATTTTTAAGTCACTAAATTTAAAATTATAATTTTATTCAGTATACTGGGATGGAAAGACTAACTTCAAGTAGCTTGGCTTGTCTCAGCTATCCAATGTTATACTTGAATACATTTTCAAGCGAAAGGGAGGAGGTTGTGAATTTCACTACATAAGAAATATTAAGGTAGGGTTTTTAGTTCTGTTAAAGAATATTTTTTTATTTTGTATGGGTGGATGTTGGGAGTTGCATATAGTAGAAATGTTAATGTGGTTTAATTTCTACTTTAGGAATTATAAGAACTTTCAAGGGTAACTGCCTTCCCACAACTGGCTGTAGACAGTGAAAGGCAGTGGGAGTTGAGACATTGTAGGTGTTAGCACTCAACTCCATGGTTTTCCATGCTTGCTGGCTAGTTTAACAACAACATTTGGATTTTGCTTGGTAGATGGGATATCCCCAATGTATTGGGTAGCTATTACCACAGGAATTATCCATTATGAATTTAAGGTGACAACTAGGATTGATAATGGATACTTTACTAAAATCTTCTTAAAGCTTATGATATATGTATGTATGTGTGGTTGTAACTTCAATTACTGTTTACATGTACATGTTTATTAGGCTTCAATGCTCATATAAGTGATCTTTTGTTTTTGTTTTAATTGAATATTTTATTCACCATGATTATATTCTTGTAAATTATTTACTACTTTTTCATTGTTAATAAACCCTTAAGATGAAATGTTGAAGAATTAAATAATTTTCACTGGGTACCAGTGTACATATTACATATGTAATATTTATCTTCATAAAACAATATTGACAATCCACAGGCATTTCAATACAACTTACTGTACACTTTCTACTAATTATGAAAATCTCATCAGCTGTTTATAACAATAACCTAATATTCTGGATTTTTCTTCTGTGTTGAATATTAACTTCAGGTTAGAAAGTTATATTCTGGAGCCTTACCTCATTGTTTCATTCAGTGTCTAGTGGTGCTCTCTCTGATAGCTGTACTTTTTCACTAAAGCCATACAGCAGATGAGTTTCCACTGTGAATGACTCTATTGTAATGCTGTAATATTCTATCCCACATTCCTCCTGTAATCCATCTAGTTTACCATAGTGATGACTTTTCCATCACTCATTTCAATAGTCCAGTCACACAAAGTCCATAGCTGCTGCATCTGGTGACTTGAGTAATTAGTCATTACATTAGTACATGTTTCGTTTATTTGCTGCTTGAGGTATGCAACAGTTGAATGCATATGTTAGGGAAGCAGCTTGTGTATAGGAGTTGTGTTGATATATTTTTCATTATGCCTTCTACTGTTGTCTGAGGAACATGGATGGATTCTGCCATTTAACTTCATATTGATGGATTCTTGTCTGTTACTAGATGCCACACTGTGCTTCCATGGTTTGTCTGGGTGGTTCTACTTATGGATGGGTAATTAATGGTGTTTGCAGTAGGTTCACTAAGTGATTACATTTGTTTGGTACCTTTTTTTACCCTTCATAAGCAATATACTAATTATACAATCTTTACTGACTTGCTTAGTTCTTATAAGGCCTTTAAACTCTATAACTACGATGTACTTACATTGTAAGTAGGTTACTAACTCTCATGAAAGAGATCTACAAAAATAAACTAGTGGATGAAATTGTTTGCAATTTGACAAGAACGGTCCTAAAATTATAGAGTTTAATAAAAATTAAATATTTTTATTTCTTCTGCTATTTCTAATAAAAATTTGTTATTTCATGTAGTTATTTGCACTTAGGTTCTGAATAGTTCGTCTACAAGGTGATTTTTATATGAACTATAAAAATACTATTTGTTATCTTGCAGTTTTCACATTCATTTGCATAATCTGTAGAACCTTGCAAATGAATATCAAAGATTTTTTTAAGGTAAATGTTTATATTTTATTTTACATTTTCTCTACTATATCACTAACTCTACCTATTATTATCAACATACAGTGCAATGAAATGTTTAAAATTAACAAATGGAAATATGGACAAACCTTTCAACTCATTGTAGAAATTCACTAGAATAGTCTTTATGGTCTTCTATGCATAATTTCATGTCTTTATCTTTTCACTTAGTTTATTTTTAATTTTCCTTTTAAATTATTCGTCTATTATTATTTCTGCCAATACATCACTTATGTATACAAGCAATTATAAAAATTTTTCTCTTGACTCCAGGCACAGATGCATAGTGTGTAAACATAGTGTGTAAAAATCACTAAACCTTTCAGATATGCATTTTAAAACACAAATAATACATAATTAATTAAAATATACAAGTAAAATCTAAATTCAATCTGTCTATCAAACTAATATGTATAAGGTGAGAAAGTGTAGCCAAATGCTAGGAATTCCACTCTTGATAATGGACTAAGCTTATTTCAACACAATATTTAGAAACACATGTACTGCCAATGTCTGTTGGACTACTTATTTAAATAGATAGAAATCTGCTCTTTCTTTGGGTTATGAGCATGCCACTCAACTTTAAACTGTCACATAGCAACACAGTTTTGACCTTGCAAGCGGGTGTGGCTGACCTTAAACTAAGAAAAAAATTTACAAATGTTTTGGGTGAGAATAAATTCTTGGAACATCTCCAGATGGTAATGAAATATGTGTTTGTGGGCTTTGACCATCTGAAATAACAGTCTCCTTTATCTACTCACTTTCTTATTTAAAAGTTGAGAATTGTAACCACAAGTGGATCACGCGACAGCAAAAACTGCACTTTTAATTACTATTTTAGATGTTTCCTTTTGAAATATAAAACTTTGAATTATAACATACTTGATAATAATAGTTTCATTAAAATACATTTATAGTAAAGTGGTTTAATTAAATATTAAATATAACTCAGTAACATGCACAGAAGGGTTTAAAGATGGTGCTACACAGTTAATGGGAAATCTCATTCAGATTTTTTGGATGTGTAGACAAAACTGACCCATTTTTCTTATTGTCTGTCACTGTTCAGTTTTTCTGGATTTGTGGTTATGTTGGTGATTGTGGGAATTGGCTTCATGATATTGCTACAAAGTCATCTGCTCTGGTGATGTCACAGTCTTGCCTATTCCTCATATTGACTTCAGGAATGTTATTAAGGCAATATTTCACACCATGAAGCAGTTAATTTGTAAAAAATCACAACATACGTTTCCAGGTAAAGCCTTCTCTTATTGTTTGGTCATGTAGTTCCAATAAGATTTGGAAAGAGGAAGTTGTCTTGACAAGGCTTTCACCTTGGCAAATTTCCTTACAGATTGATTTCTTTTAAAAGGAACTGATATGCCAATATGTTTTTCGTTTGTTTGTTTTTTTACATTGAGATCACAATTACCCAAGTTCTTCATTCACCAACGATATGAATATCAGCAATTTAGACATATTGTATCACAAAGTTTGCCTTTAACATTGGTGATGGTGACACTGTCCAGATTGATTGTGTTTTTAGGCTTTTTAATGGTTATTTACTGTTCTTTTTAGTTTTGGTTTTTAACCAGGTTTAATTAAAACAAGTGAATACCATTTAGGTACGTATTTTATTTTCTGCTTTTACATAATTTGTTTAATTCTCACTCTTTACTACCCAATGTTTTCTGTAGATAGCCCTGATGCTTTGCTCCAGACAATCAACCAACAAACTTTTTCATTTCAGTTTGATATCTATATAAAGCTAAATATATTTGCTTTCAGTTTCCTTAAATAAGAAAGTTATTATTGGATGTGTTTCTTGAAGATTAATTTTTTATCTCCTTAAATAAAAAAGTGGTTACTGAGTACTTCTTGTAGAGTAATTTCTTTTTTTAACTTTTGTCTCCGAGCAGCCGTTATATCAGTGTGCTCGTTTTCCTGCTTGGATGATCTGCTGGTATATTGGCTTGTATGTCTTGTTCCATTTCAGGATCGATCCCTCATTTTGAATGCCTTGTATTTTCAATGTAAAACTAGAACTACTTCAGTTAATGAAATATCTTTAATCTGAGTATCAATTTTTGCAGCAATTTACACGAGCGTTTTGAACCTCTATTTTAAAATGAAGAAAATTACCACGCCCACTACTTTTGGTAGGCCTTGTTGCTCTGATTCTGAGCAAGCTAGAAAGTTATTTGAGGAACTTCTAAGCCAGGAAAATGACTTTATTCCAAGTGATCTTGATGATGATGGTTTTGAAATTGAGAAATCTGACTTGGATAGATCTAATGAAAGTGAGACAGAGGATAGTCCCATGGATAGTCCAGGTGTGAGTACACGTAAAGGGAAGGGGAAAGATCAGTGGTACAGAAAGATAAGAAAAGCAAGGTCTGGATCTAGACCTAACAAGAGGAAGAGGATAGTTGTAGGAGCAGGAGGAGATTATGAGAATGGTGAAGATGGAGTAGCATAGATAGTAGTTGAAGAAGGAGAGACTGATGTGAACTTTTCATTTAGTAAGCCAGAACAAAACATGAACGTGGATTTCAATGAAAGCCATTCACAACTGGATTTCCTCAAAGCTCTCGTTAGAAAGAAATTGTGGCCACTTTCTTGCAGCTATTTTTGCTCCATCCATAGCCTGTATTTGCTCCTGAGATAAGAGTTAAAAAAGAAAGTGGCTATTGGGTGTTTCCCATAGAATAATTTATTATCTTCTTAAATAAGAAAGTGGCTATTGGGTGTTTCCCATAGAATAATTTATTATCTTCTTAAATAAGAAAGTGGCTATTGGGTGTTTCCCATAGAATAATTTATTATCTTCTTAAATAAGAAAGTGGTTATTGGGTGTTTCACATAGAATAATTTATTATCTTCTTAAATAAGAAAGTGGTTATTGGGTGTTTCCCATAGAATAATTTATTATCTTCTTAAATAAGAAAGTGGTTATTGGGTGTTTCCAATAGAATAATTTATTATCTTCTTAAATAAGAAAGTGGTTATTGGAAGTTCCCTGTAGAATAGTTTATTATCTTCTTAAATAAGAAAGTGGTTATTGGGTGTTTCCCATAGAATAATTTATTATCTTCTTAAATAAGAAAGTGGTTATTGGAAGTTCCCTGTAGAATAGTTTCTTGTCTTAGTGTATTGTATGTAAATCCAAAATATAGAACTACAAGTAACAAAAATGAAACTGTTTTTCTTTAATTTTTCTCTTTGTTTTTTTTAGCTTACAGGATCAGACATGAAAATTGTTACAATGTTTGAATAGTTTTAGGACTGTATACATAATTGTTTCAAATTTTAGGTTTACTAATTATATCATGTTTTGTATTAGTGTACTGTAGAAACTTTATGTAATGATAACATTAGTTATTACTTTTGTTAACCTTTTCAAACATTGTTGATTTTAGAAAAAATCTGTTGGAGTGAAAATGGAGCATTCTGGTGATCTGCTACAAGATGATGTTATTTCAAGGTTCAGTTACAGTGAAGATAAGGATCGGGATGGTTCACACTATAATGTTATGATTGTGAAAACAGAAACTGAATTTCAAAAAGATATTGTTCCTGAGTTAGAAAGTACATCTGGTAAGTACAAACATCTCCTAAAACTCTAATTCTAATATGATACCTTACTTTCTTTCACATAATAGCTTTTCTCATTGAATGTTGCTCTTTGTATACACAATATTTTGCTCACCACTAGCCCTGATACTCTCACCTACTGTTACGTAGCATGGAAATAAGCATACAACAACCATCCCCCAATAAAAGTGCAACACATCCTTCTTGTGCAACTGACTCCCTCTATACTGTAGAGTCCAATCTTCATTTCTCAACCCCTTGAGGTGGATTCTTGTACATAGTTAGGGGGACATCCCAGAGAAGGTTCTGTATTTTCAGTTTACCTCCTTTGGAATCTGAACATCCATCCACATGTTTGCTGTGTGTGGTGACCCATGAAGGGAAGGAGAGGATCCTGGTGGTTGAGTGGTGTCTGGGGCACTGCAACACACCACTTTGGCCTCGATTTCCTGTAGATGAGTGACCTTGGGGTACCCCCCAATGGTCAATTGGCTGGTCCTGTTGGGTTAGGGTCAACTGAGTATCAGTATTGGCCATTCTCAATGGATGTAGTGGACATTGCTACAGTGTCCTTGATTGGAATTTTAGTGTATCCCCTCATAGGATTCCATGGTGGGTGGGATCAGTGGGCACTGAATCTCTTTCTTTTTATTATGGATCTTCCCACCTCCAAATAAAAATAAAATAGTAAAAAACAATAATTTAGTAAGCATCCACGTATGGAGGACTCTGTGCTACAGTCACTACCCAAGTCAATTCCTGTATCTCATTTTCTAAGAAATCCTTAGGGCAAATGTCTCATTTTTTTTACCCAAGAGGGTTAAGAGGGGCTTGCTGGCTGTCCCAAGTCAGTTAAGAAGTTTAATTTTGGAGATCTTGGTTAAAACAACTATGCCACACCATAGCGAACTCCTCCTGAAGTCAGAAGTCTATATATACCTATTGAGATTACTCCCCATGCTATTTTGAACGCTTCACGAGGAGTTATCATAGAGAGGGACTCAAAGAACATCCCTGAGTTTGAGATCCTCACTGGTTTTTTCACCCAAGGAGTTTCTTCTGTGCAATGCATTTCCACTTGGAAGGACGGAATTATGCTGCTGACCAATGTTCTAATTTTGACGTTTACATTGCCATGTCCACCTGCCTTTTTCAAGACAGGTTGTCTTAACTGTAAGGTACAGCCATATATTCCTAACCTTCTCGAATGTTTCAAGTGTCAATGGTTTAGACATTCTAAGGCATCTTGTCATGGTTCTTTGACGTGTGCTCATTTTGGTGGCTAAGACCGTGATTCCTATAAGTGTCAACTGGACTTTCACTGCATCAATTGTGATGGTTTCCATCCCTCTTATTTTCAGTCTTGCCCTAAGTGGGTGGAGGATAAAGTAAATAACATTTCTTATTCAGAGGCTTGGAAATTGTTGTCCCCATTCGATCTCGAACTTATACTGCTGCACTATGTTTCGCTGCTACAGTGGGAGTGCAGACAGATCTCTCTGTGCCTCCAACAGTCTTTCTCACACTATGTGAAGAGTCTTTTGCCCTCCATGGAAAAGAAAAGTAGACAAGTCAACGTCTACTCTTATTTCTGTCCCAACTGTTGCAACCATTGTCTGTTTGGGTCCATATCCTTTGATACAGAGGAACTGTCGAGGTTCTCATTAAGGCCTTGATTGATTCCTATCATCCCGTATGTGTCTCTCCTTACAGGAAACGTTCCTGAAACCTGCTGATACCATCATTTTTTGGCAGTTTTTTTTACACTGGAATGACAGGTTGTGTGATGGACTGGTTCATGGAGGGGTGGCATTACTGGTTGACCAGCATGTACTTACCTTGTCTGTGCCACTCGATACATCCTTGGAGGCTGTATCCATCCATATCTCCTTGAGTCGTACCATCACTTTACCTTTCTCCTGGAGAGATATATGTTCAGTCAAACCTTGATGCTGTTATCGAACAGTTACTGTCTCCCTTTTCCATCTTGGATTACTTTAATGGACACAATTCCTTTCGGGGTGGTACTGATATTGATGGGTCATTCCGTGGAGCACATCCTCTTGGATCACAACCTGTCTCTCTTCAATAATGGTTCCTTTACCTATTTTCATGCACCTAGTCAGTCTTTTACTGCTATTGATCTATCTGTTATCCATTTTTCTTCAACGGTTGATAGTGACCCACGGGGCAGTGATAATTTTCCTATCGTTTTGAGGAAGATTGGCTGATGTCAATGCTACCTGACCTGAGTGCCACGGTGGAAGTTGGAGAAGGCTGACTGGCTCTCTTTCACCTTTCTCTGAATTTTATCCTGCTGTCGTTAATCTTCCATCTATTAACGACTGCATGGAGGCAGTAACTGATTGTATCATTCAAGCAGCTGTTTGATCTATACCCAAAAGCTTGAAATGTTTCCCACAGTATCCTCATCCATGGTGGTCTCCCGCCTGCCAACAGACATGAAAGGCTCAGAAATGGGCCTGAGATACCTTTCATAGGTACTCAACTCTTTCCAATTGCATTGCTTTTGAGTGGGCCCATGGTTGGCAGGGCCAACATGAAAGCCAAAAGGAATCTTGAATTAAGTTCACAAACAGCATCTCTTCTACCACCAGATCTAAAGTCATATGAGACAAGATTTGGAAGGTCAGTAGTAGGTATACTTCCCATCCCCTTTCTGTCTTGCTCTCTGATGGCCAGGAAGTTGCTAACATACAGAGCATCACCAATACTCTTCAGAAATGCTTTGCTTATCTTTCCAGCACTTATGTTTCTTCCTATGCCTACTTGGCCATCAAGTCTCAGGCAGTGCAATTGCTTCTTTCATTTTGGGCTGATTGTCTCTATGATTATAATTGCCTCTTTATACTTGTGGAACTTAAGCATGGGTCTGGCAGTACATCAGTTGGACTACGAAATGCTGCGCCATCTCTCTCCTGCCTTTCTTCTGGTTGTTTTTAACTGGATATGGTAGGAGAACATTTTCCCTGATGCTCAGTGTAAGGCTATTGTCCTACCTTTTTCTAAGCCTGGGAAGGATCCCAAGATTCCTTCTAATTATCGTCCAATTGCTTTGACTAGCTGTCTTTGTGAGGTCTTAGAGAGCATGGTTAATGTTCATCTTGTTTGGTTCCTTGTTACTTGGAGGTACAGCATTTTGCAGGACCTTCATTCATATGGGCTGCATGGCCACTTGTCCATTTTTATTTGTAATTTTTGACATGACAGGTGATTCCAAGTCCATGTGGGTTCCACCCTTTCTCATTCTTTTACACAGGAACTTGGAGTCCCTCAGAGCTGTGTCTTGAGTGTCACACTCCCTGCTACAATTGTAAACGGCCTCTATACTGAGGACTGCCACATCTCATGTCAGTTATCGAACATGAGGTTTATTGAGCAGCAGCTTCAAACCGCCCTCAATCACTTTTTGAAATGGACCACAACAAACAGTTTGTACCATCTCTTTCTCCAAAACCATGGCACTTTTGCCATCGACTTTTACACCCCGATTCTGAGCTCCACCTCAGTGATGTTGTTATTCCTGTGGTCCAGTTGTTGCGGTTGTCTTTGACCATAAGCTTACTTTCATTTCTCACATCAAGTAGCTACGTGTCAAGTGTACAAGGGCATTGAACATCATCTTTTCCACCTCTTCTATGCTCGAGATCTATCTTGCGCTCATTCAATCCAAAATATAAAATGGGTCTCTGGTCCATTGTTTTTCCCAGGCCCTCTGCCTTGAAAATGTTGGACCCCATTCACCATCTGTGGCTTTGGCTCTGCATGGGGGCTTTCTGCATTTCTCCAGTCCAGAGTTTGTACACAGAGTCCCACAAACCTCCTCTTCATCTCTGCCATTTGGAACTTTCTCTGCAGTATGCTACCAAACTTCGATCCTTACCAAAGCATCCCACCTGGGCTTGTGCCTTCCTTCTTCAATGGCTATGTAATAGACAGTCTGCAATTTTTTCTTTTGGCCTTCGTATCCAGGCACAGCTGGCTCAATTGGATATGTCATTGGATGACATTGCTGTCTCCAATAATCAGCCATCCCACCATGGCTAATTACGATCCCTACTTGTGACCTTTCTTTGAGTCATCTGAGGAAGGTGGATACTCCCAATTGGAAGTACTGTCCTCTCTTTGCCAAACATCTTTCAAGCCATTCCTTTATTTCTGTTTATACGGATAGTTCGAAATCAGGTGACTCTGTGGGCTCAGCTATGGTTCGTTGTGGCTTAGTGGATGCTTGCAGGATCCCCGCTAGAGTTTCTGTGTTCACTGCTGAGTTGTATACCATTTCTCTTGCCCTGGATCGTGTAGAAATTACCGATTGTATTATTTACACTGATTATCTTAGCTTTCTACTGGCCCTGGAATTGCTTAATGTTAGTTCTTACCCTGTTCTCATTGATATTCAACAAAAAATGGCCCGTTTTTGTGGGATAATTGGTTTTACTATCACCCAAACTGATATCTGCCCAGAATTAAAGTTATGCAACATAGGCAGGTGGCTAGAGCGTCAAATACTCGGGGAACATATAATATTGCAAAAGTACAAATTAAAATTTTTTTAAAACATAATTGAGCAAAATACAATAGTAGTTAGGACATTTGCTCAGACACACACACACACTGATTGCCTGCCTCAGGGAGGGGGATGGGTAGAGACGATGACGTTATAGTTCCACGAAGTCTCGTCAGAGAACATGTTGCTAGGACAGGCAAAAGACAGAGAGAACATTACTAGGTGTAACATCATAGTTCCACGAAGTGGAACTAAAAGACGTGTTGCTTGGGCTCGGCTGCGTGCCAGTTGGCAGTCAGTGTGGGGTGAGCAACGTGATAACAAGTGTTTCCAGATTAAAGCTGCTATTGCTCTCTGGCTCTCTTGTTTCCATATGGATTTCAAAGAGGAAGTTGCTTTGGCTAGGCTACATATAGGTCACAATTTTTTAACCCATTGTTTTCTTTTATCTGGTACTGATCTACCAATGTGT